TAATATTTAAAAAGAGTTGAAGGATAGGGTCATGCAGATTAAGTATGATTCAGTGGTTACACAGATTAAGTGATTTGCTCAACTGTTTAACATTGTTATTGGTGTGAAAAGTGATTTACGCAGGTGTAGATTTACCTTTTAACATAATGTGAATTAAAATTTGGTTGTTCTCACATATATGTTATAATTATTATATATTAAATTTCTTTATAAAGTTTGGCGCAGTTTGGGTTGTGTGTTTGGGACGTGTTGACGATTATTTGTTCTTGAAGTGTAATACAGTTGCCGAGAAGTGTTCCTTTACCCCCAAGTGTCTTGGAAAGTGTTCACGGGTTCACCATAGCCCGTGCTACATGGACACTTCGTTCTGAGTAGCTAAATCTGAAACAACAACAACAATTGGAAAGTGCAGAATGGCAAGGCCGCGTTTCTTATTATTGTAGAATGGCAACGCCACCTTTGTTGTTATTGTAGAATGGCATCACCGAGTTTGTTTTTATTGTAGAATGGCAACGAAGCGTTTGTTGTTATTGAAGAATGGCAACGCCGCGTTTGTTGTTATTATAGAATGGCAACGCTGTGTTTGTTGTTATTGAAGAATGGCAACGCCGCGTTTGTTGTTATTGAAGAATGGCACCACCGCGTTTCTTGCAGTAATTAATGGATTATAGTATGAATGACTAGGCGTCTCATTGGTCAAAACACCACACCTCGGTTTAAATAATTCACACACTGATGTCACAAGGAAAATAATGTAGTGGAACACTTAATACAAATTAAAAAATGGATTTTAGTGAACTGGAGAGATGACTCTATTGTTGTGCATAAGAGTTTTATGCATAAGATTGTTAGTTTAGATCATTTATTATGCACCCCATACCCATCCTGTGGGCGGTAGTGGACCCCATACCCATCTTCTGGGTGGTAGTGGACCCCATACCTATCCTGTGAGGTGGTAGTGGACCCCATACTTATCCTGTGAGGTGGTAGTGGACCCCATACCCATTCTGTGGGTGGTAATGGACCCCATACTCATCCTGTGGGTGGTAGTGGTTCCCATACCCATCCTGTGGGTGGTAGTGGACCCCATACTCATCCTGTGGGTGGTAGTGGACCCCATACCCATCCTGTGAGTAATAGTGGACCCCATACTCATCCTGTAGGTGGTAGTGGACCCTATACCCAGTCTGTGGGTGGAAGTGGACCCCATACTCATCCTGTGGGTGGTTGGACCCCATACGTATCATGTGGGGTGGTAGTGGACCCAATACCTATCCTGTGGGGTGGTAGAGAACCCCATACTCATCCTGTGGGGTGGTAGTGGACCCCATACCCATCCTGTGGGTGGTAGTGGACCCCATACTCATCCTGTGGGTGGTAGTGGACCCCATACCCATCCTGAGGGTGGTAGTGGACCCCATACCCATCCTGTAGGGTGGTAGTGGACCCTATACCCATCCTGTGAGTGGTAGTGGACCCCATTCTCATTCTGTGGGTGGTAGTGGACCCCATACCCATCCTGTGGGTGGTAGTGGACCCCATACCCATCCTGTGGGTGGTAGTGGACCCCATACACATCCTGTGGGTATTGGTGGACCCCATACCCATCCTGTGGGTGGTAGTGGACCCTATACTCATCCTGTGGGTGGTAGTGAACCCCATAACCATCCTGTGGGTGGTAGTGGACCCCACACCCATCCGGTGGGTGGTGGTGGACCCCACACCCATCCTGTGGGGTAGTAGTGGACCTCACACCCATCCTGCGGGTGGTGGTGGACCCCATACCCATCCTGTGGGTGATAGTGGACCCCACACCCATCCTGTGGGTGGTGGTGGACCCCATACCCATCCTGTAGGTGGTGGTGGACCCCCATACCCATCCTGTGGGTTGTAGTGGACCCCATACCCATCCTGTGGGTGGTAGTGGACCCCACACCCATCCTGTGGGTGGTGGTGGACCCCATACCCATCCTGTGGGTGATGATGGACCCCATACCTATCCTGTGGGTGGTAGTGGACCCCATACACATCCTGTGGGTGGTAGAGGACCCCACACCCATCCCGTGGGTGGTAGTGGACCCCACACCCATCCAGTGGGTGGTAGTGGACCCCATACCCATCCTGTGGGTGGTAGTGGACCCCATACCCATCCTGTGGGGTGGTAGTGGACCTAATACCCATCCTGTGGGTGGTAGTGGACGCCATACCCATCCTGTGGGGTGGTAGTGGACCCCATACCCATCCTGTGAGTGGTAGAAGACCCCATACTCATCCTGTGGGTGGTAGTGGACCCCATACCCATCCTGTGGGTGGTAGTGGACCCCATACCTATCCCGTGTGTGGTAGTGGACCCCATACCCATCCTGTAGGGGGTGGTGGACCCCATACCCATCCTGTGGGCGGTAGTGGACCCCACACCCATCCTGTGGGTGGTGGTGGACCCCATACCCATCCTGTGGGTGGTAGTTGACCGCATACCCATCCTGTGGGTGGTTGTGGACCCCACACCCATCCTGTGGGTGGTGGTGGACACCATACCTATCCTGTGGGTGGAAGTGGACCCCATACTCATCCTGTGGGTGGTAGTGGACCCCATACCCATCCTGTGGGTGGTAGTGGACCCCATACCCATCGTGTGGGGTGGTAGGGGACCCCATACCCACCCTGTGAGTAATAGTGGACCTCATACTCATCCTGTGGGTGGTAGTGGACCCCATACCCATTCTGTGGGTGGAAGTGGACCCCATACTCATCCTGTGGGTGGTTGGACCCCATACCCATCATGTGGGGTGGTAGTGGACCCCATACCTATCCTGTGGGGTGGTAGAGAACCCCATACTCATCCTGTGGGGTGGTAGTGGACCCCATACCCATCCTGTGGGTGGTAGTGGACCCCATACTCCTCCTGTGGGTGGTAGTGGACCCCATACCCATCCTGTGGGTGGTAGTGGACCCCATACCCATCCTGTGGGGTGGTAGTGGACCCCATACCCATCCTGTGGGTGGTAGTGGACCCCATACACAACCTGTGGGTATTGGTGGACCCCATACCCATCCTGTGGGTGGTAGTGGACCCTATACTCATCCTGTGGGTGGTAGTGGACCCCATACCCATCCTGTGGGTGGTAGTGGACCCCACACCCATCCGGTGGGTGGTGGTGGACCCCACACCCATCCTGTGGGGTGGTAGTGGACCCCACACCCATCCTGTGGGTGGTGGTGGACCCCATACCCATCCTGTGGGTGGTAGTGGACCCCATACCCATCCTGTGGGTGGTAGTGGACCCCACACCTATCCTGTGGGTGGTGGTGGACCCCATACCCATCCTGTGGGTGATGATGGACCCCATACCTATCCTGTGGGTGGTAGTGGACCCCATACTCATCCTGTGGGTGGTAGTGGACCCCATACCCATCCTGTGGGTGGTAGTGGACCCTATACTCATCCTGTGGGTGGTAGTGGACCCCATACCTATCATGTCGGTGGTAGTGGACCCCATACTCATCCTGTGGGTGGTAGTGGACCCCATACCCATCCTGTGGGTGGTAGTGGACCCCACACCCATCCTGTGGGTGGTGGTGGACTCCATACCCGTCCTGTGGGTGGTATTGGACCCCACTCCAATCCTGCGGGTGGTGGTGAACCCCATACCCATCCTGTTGGTGGTAGTGGACCCCACACCCGTCCTGTGGGTGGTAGTGGACCCCATACCCATCCTGTGGGTGATGATGGACCCCATACCTATCCTGTGGGTGGTAGTGGACCCCATACTCATCCTGTGGGTGGTAGTGGACCCCATACCCATCCTGTGGGTGGTAGTGGACCTCACACCCATCCTGTGGGTGTTGGTGGACCCCATACTCATCCTGTGGGTGGTAGTGGACCTCACACCCATCCTGTGGGTGGTGGTGAACCCCATACCTATCCTGTGGGGTGGTAGTGGACCCCAAACCCATCCTGTGGGTTGTGGTGAACCCCATACCCATCCTGTTGGTGGTAGTGGACCCCACACCCGTCCTGTGGGTGGTAGTGGGCCCCATACCCATCCTGTAGGTGGTGTTGAACCCCTGCACACCCATCCTGTTGGTGGTAGTGGGGCCCCATATCCATCCTGTGGGTGGTAGTGGTCCCCATACCCATCCTGTGGGTGGTAGTGAACCCCAAACCCATCCTGTGGGTGGTGGACCCCACACCCATCCTGTGGGTGGTAGTGGACCCCATACCCATCCTGTGGGTGGTAGTGGACCCCACACCCATCCTGTGGGTGGTGGACCTGACACCCATCCTGTGGGTGGTAGTGGACCCCACACCCATCCTGTGGGTGGTGGACCCCACACCCATCCTGTTTTTGGTAGTGGACCCCACACCCATCCTGTGGGTGGTGGACCCCACACCCATCCTGTTTGTGGTAGTGGACCCCACACCCATCCTGTGGGTGGTGGACCCCACACCCATCCTGTTTGTGGTAGTGGACCCCACACCCATCCTGTGGGTGGTGGACCCCACACCCATCCTGTGGGGGTGTAGTAGTCGGGTGTACATGAGAGGAAGTATAAGATAAGATAAGTTTCCTGTTGTGTTAAGTCTTGATTATAAGAGTCTGTTTATAGACTTGAGTGCATTATACGCAACATAATGAAGCCTAAGTGTGTCCAGGCACTTGTTCAGTTGGAGCAGGAAACTCGCTACAAAAGGTATTCATCTTATCTGGCGTAAAAACTCTTACACAGTAATTGGTCGGTAAATACGTGTGAAATGTGCAGTGAAGGAATATGAAGTGTGAGAAAAATTACATATTGAAGGTCAGACCTCATCTATACATTCACAACAGCTTACTGAGTCCACCCTGGCAACAGAAGCACTCACCAAACACTACATACAATAAACAGCTCTTAAATTGGTCTGTAAAATTGGTAAGAATATTACATATATAATAGGAATAAAATAGTTATACAAGTGCTGGAAAAGTGACAAATAGAAGGTTAATAAAAACTTAACGTTACAAAACTCTTATAATCTTATCTAAGTTTACACTCATATTATATACACTTGCAAAATGCAAAACACTTTAAAAAGTACAAACAGGACGTGGATTATACTTGATATATACTTGTGCTATGTTTACATAAATGTTAACAATATTTATAATATATAACATTTGTTCAGTTTGGTAACAGATTTTTAAAGGTAAACAATGTCTTAATGTGTAACAATATTACCATGGTGTGACCTGCCCTGTAAGGCAGGCACCAGGGATGTGGCTGACTGTAAATGAAATAGGAGAGTCCCAGACGACAGGGCCAAAGCTCTTGGGGGGGGGGGGTGGTTGTGAAGCTCTGGTCCGGCATCAGTGGAAGCCTCAGGAACCCTGGTGGGTGTAGTAGTATCCCAGGTTGCAATCCTTTTGACCATGTCGTGGCGTAGTTGTCTAGAGCGTGTGCCGGGGAACACCCAGCGCGTAAATTCGAACCCTCATCACGGCTCCTGTGGATTTTCTCCTTGACGCATCACGACAGTGGGATATCTGGGGAATATCTCTGGGTATCTGGGAAATATTATATCCTCAAAGGGCTCACTTGTCTGTCTTTCTAATGCAACCAGAGAACTGAAAGTCAGAACAATTATCTTTATGAGTAAATTGTGTATTGTTTATACCTGGTGGAATGTAAAGTTATTTATTGGTCAATGTCTGTGGCACCTCATATGTGCTGACCTTGGATAATATAGCTTAAGAATGACTGATGTATGTAATGGTGTAAAAGATCTACAGGAAATAATACATTAGCTGATAAGCTTCCTATACTCCAGCTGGATATTTCAAATTATTAAGGAATTACTGTCATAAAAAAGCTAGCTTATTAACAAGCATTTTAAATCCCATTGAAATCAGATCCATGGTAGATGAGCTGTTTAGAGTGATAGTAATCTTGGGTAGTTCATATATCTCTTGATGTAAGGTGCTCAGCTGAGAACATTTATGTATCTTCATGGCACAAATAGTTTACATTATTTATCCAATTGTCTTATCAAATGAACAAATCCACAAGGGCCGTGACGAGGATTCGAACCTGCATCCGAGAGCCTTCCAGCATCCATTGTCTTATCATCCTAATTTAATGTTGTTTGGCTTCAACTATATATAAGCTTATTATATTATAAATTATATTATAAATTATATATAAATATAAGCTTCAATGGGACAATTGTAAGCTGTAAATTGTGTCTGTGGCTGTAACACCTGATCACTTGAGCCACAGCTGAAATGTTCTGTATTTACAATGAGGAGTAAAGCTTTGAAATCCATATCAAGAACTATATAAATAAAAATGTAAATGTTCATTTGTTCAAAATCGCAAAACTCCGAAAGTTCTTCACTGATTGCTTAGAAATTTTGACACAACGTTCCATTCGAATACACGCGTGTTTTTATATACCTACTATATAGATGTCACACCTGTGACAGGTAAAAACATGTATTTTTTTTAACAGCATCATCTGTTGCACGTAATACAACATACGTTATACTAAATATGTTACAATTCCATTTCAGTGTTTCCGATTGCATTGATAAATTGAATTTTCATAAATTTTGATTATTTTCATTTTGATGTTTACCATACTGTTCATTTCGTGAGTATAGTATATTTTTGTTATTTTTTAATTGTTTTACATTTCATTTTTTAACTGTTCTACTTATTTTTCAGTGATGGGTACATCACATCATTTGATGTTCCCATTTTTCTGATGGGAACAGCAGATCATTTTGGAACGCATCGGATGAGGGAGTGAGGAATGGTGGGGAGGACAGGGAAGGCTTGCTGTGGCTCAGCAACGCGTGGTAGGGTACATCTAGTAAAGCATATAATTATAATGATTACGTGTTTTACTGTTATTATGATACTCTCTTACATATATAATGTACTGTAATTTTGACTCTTATAAATGTGCAACTATTTATGAATACATATTTTATATTTGATTTAAATATTCTGAGAAGTAAAGTAACTAACCGTTTATATATGTGTGTGGAGTGGTGACCATTGATGAGCCGAAGAGGCCCTGGACGCGCTACAGGTTGTCTGACTCTGTGTGGCCAGAGGCGTGACAACTGTCGACGCAGGACGCCTCCTGCCCTGACCCTGGGGATGATGTATGTGAACCAGGATGAGAATAAACTTGCTGAAGACAAGACCGGCAGCGCTCCTGCACGTCCCTCCACACCTTGCTCCTGCAGGTGAAGGTCAGGAAGATGAAGGTTCCCTGCAGGGTATTGAGCACCACGAAGACATACCAGATGGCCTGCAGCTGCAGGTAGCCAGCCACGATACCAGTGATCCAGGTGAGGCCCATAAGCACGGCCAGTCGCACATACAGCACAAACTGTTTCTTATCTTGTGGACTCGAACTCTTCCGCAGCGTCGACTGTGTGCTGGTACCGATGGTGTATGAAGTAATAAGGAAAAACACAACATTGAGAGCCATGACTGTGAATAATGGAGCACCAAAGAACACCAACAAGGCCTTGCGCTTCCCAAACCAGCACCAACGTTGACCAAAGCTGGGCAGGAACTGAGGGGACAGACCTGCAGGGGCGGTCATGTCAAGGGTTACTGTCACCACTACTGCCAGGGCGGGAAGCAGCCAGCCGTACACACAGTAGAATAAGAACTTGCTTCGCTGTTTCCCAGATGACACTCGCAGCTCATCTTTAGCTTGTCGAAATGTCAACCACACGTCAAAGGCCATGATATTCATCCAGCAGAAGGCGGCGAGGAAGGAGTAATACATTATAACTGCCGAGATGTAACATCCTGTCGTCTTAGGCTCGAGGAAGGTACTGAAGATGAAGATGGTGTAGGCGGTGAGAAGAGAGAGGCAGAGACACGCCAAGCACATGCCCGGAAGGTTCCTAAGATGAGGCACCAAGAGGAAGGCAGCCAGGTGCAGCAGGAGACACAGGCAGGACAACCCAAGACCCACCAGTGAAACCCAACCTAACACCGAGGAGAACTTGTGTGAGAGTTCCTGTGGCTTGCACACAAGGACGCCACCTTCAGTTACCTCGTACTCTCCCACCTGGTAACTTCGAGCGTAAGCTTCTACAATTACCATTCTCTTCTCGTTCAACGTGAATTCGCCTTCAGAAAGAAGTATTTTATCACAATTAAGTGTTTCATTTGATTCAGTAGACACTAAATTGCTACGAAAGGCTTTCCTTGTGTTGTGTGGACAACAAGCTGAGAAATCCGATGTGTTGATTGTCACTTTATTGTCGCCTTCATGACCCTTGTCTTCCTTGTCTACCTGACTTATGTTCCCCCAAGAAACATTTCTGCACTTATTTAAAAAGTTATCATAAACTTCGTCGGGCTGGCAAAGGTTTACAATTCCGACATTATTACCACCGCTGTGGTAACCAAAATCAATTAGTAGAGAGAAAGAAGGTGGCCCTGGACCAGCAGCTATACCGCAATATATTGAGGAGATAGATTTCCAGTTACACAGAAGACAGTGGGGGTTCCTGTAGGCCGTAAATCCCTCATACCTCACTGCCGTGTAAGAGTGACACAGAGCAGCAACAGAAGCGTCCGTCCAGTTCTTAGCACACGTGTTGATGGTGGAGTCGCATTTCCTTGTAGGGAATGGAATATCGGGAATTTTAATGTTAATATTACATTTCTTAAATATTTGTTTACCGTTAAAGGGAACAAATGCACCCCAAGATCCGTTATCGAATAATAAATGAGAAGTTATGTATTCGGATAAGTTACCCGGCTGATCTGGAATATAGTTATCCGGCTGATATGGAATATAGTTATCCGGCTGATATGAAATATAGTTATCCGGCTGATATGGAATATAGTTATCCGGCTGATCTGGAATATAGTAATCCGGCTGATCTGGAATATAGTTATCCGGCTGATCTGGAATATAGTTATCCGGCTGATATGGAATATAGTTATCCGGCTGATATGGAATATAGTTATCCGGCTGATCTGGAATATAGTTATCTGGCTGATCTGGAATATAGTTATCCTTCTGATCTGGAATATAGTTATCCGGCTGATCTGGAAAATATTCCTCATTGTCGACACATTCCAGTTGTGTCTTCCAGAGCGTGAGGTCGTGGGAGTCGTTGTTGCAGATGGCGCAGTAGTAGTTGGTGTAGGTGACGGAGGTGGTGTTGCTGGTGGCGGGGAGGTGGGCCAGCGGGTCCCTGCTGCTGGAGATGTCTGCCGGGGAGCCCGCCAGACACAGCTGGGCCACCTCCTCGTCCTCCCACCCTGACATGCACACGCTCTTCATGTAAAACTTGCCATTATTCGTGCTCACACACTTGTACCTCTCTGGCAGGACCTGATCTTCCCGTCTGTAGTGGACGGAGTCTGGACAACAATCGCCATACTTTGCGCACAGGTCATCACACATACAGTATTCTGCACTCTGGTAATCACTACCATTACAAAAAAACTCGGTCGAACACGCAGCATCCAAAGCAACCAAATCGCTATGAAAGAGATCCATCATTTGGCCCTTCGCAGTTGCCAATATCAGTATAAATAAGGCCTTTCTCATCATTTTTGTTTCCAAATTTTCTAAATCAATTGCAGAAATATCCAAAACTTCATTAGTGTGACCAATGACAATGCTCGAAGCCCGTACACTGGTGGCCGTGTTCTTCGCCTTAGTGAGAATACCACTGTATTTTTAATCTAAGGATTTCCTCTCCAGCGGTTACTAGACTTTCTATTTTATTAATCTAATTCAATTTAATCACAATATATATGCTATGATTTTGGAAGCTTTATTAGTGTAATACAAGTGTAGTAGTATGGACTCTTGACATTTGTGACGCTGAACAGTGTCAGATGAGGTGTAGAGACACCACATGGGACAGTCTTAAGACAACACCTAGGTCAGTGCCCTCACACAAACAGTCGTGGAGAGAGACAGGAAATAGTAGAGCAATGATAAGGACAGCGTCATCATCCTGTCGGTCAGTACTGGCTCCCGACAGTCAGACTGTCTGACAGTACTGGCTGTCGACAGTGGTAGTAGACTGTCGGACAGTACTGGCTGTCGACAGTGGTAGTAGACTGTCGGACAGTACTGGCTGTCGACAGTGGTATTAGGCTGTCGGACAGTACTGGCTGTCGACAGTGGTATTAGGCTGTCGGACAGTACTGGCTGTCGACAGTGGTATTAGGCTGTCGGACAGTACTGGCTGTCGACAGTGGTAGTAGACTGTCGGACAGTACTGGCTGTCGACAGTGGTAGTAGACTGTCGGACAGTACTGGCTGTCGACAGTGGTAGTAGACTGTCGGACAGTACTGGCTCTCGACAGTGGTAGTAGACTGTCGGACTGAACACTGATTTGTTACAAGTAACAAACTGCTCATTCTTAAAGGTATCTCATCCTCTTGTCTTCCTCCTACCACGGTAATATATGGTAGGAAACAGCTCTGGCTAGGCCTCCTAGTTGCCATATAGTATACTTAACTCGTGAGCATTTAATGGAATGCCACTCTGCTCCTTATTGTCTGAATTGCATTGTCCCACTTAGTTGTACACCTTGTAGAATGTCAACATTTTCGGGACGATTGCCTTGCTTTGCAAGTGTCCCTCGACAGAATCCTTGATAAATCCAGTACATTACGGGCTCACCATAGCCCGTGCTACATGGACATTTCATTCTGAGTAGCTAAATCTAAAACAACAACAACATCCAGTACATTTGATATTGCTCACATTATGTTCTTTTGTTCCCGTATTGGCATCCTAAATGATAATAGCGACTTTTTGAATATCCAGCAACACTGATGATGCTATATAGTCTACCTGGTTTGGTGTTTTTTTATAGTTTCTTGTTTAACATTATACAAATTTGTGTGCTGATCAAGTTGCTGGGATTATCTTTTTTTTATATTTATATATAATTGATTTTACATTCTTGTAAAGTCACTAGCAGGCATACTGTCTTGGGCAGGTCCTTAATCTAATTTTTTTCTGTGCAATACGACCCACCAAATTGTTTGACAACCTGCAGGTATTCATTTACTGCTGGCTGAACAGAGGCGCCCGGTCAATCACAGTTAAGGATTGGCACCCGGTCAACCCTCCCCGGCCAGGATACGAACCTAGGCCAAAGCGCTCGCAAAGTGCCGGGCGCGTGCTTTACCACTATGCCACGGGGATTGCAGTCCTTGTAGCAGACAGTTGTTGGAATGGGTCTGTACCCCATGTTCCAGTACAAGGCATGCAGGGTGAGGACAGTACAATCTTGAGGTTATCTTGAGATGATTTCGGGGCTTTAGTGTCCCCGTGGCCCGGTCCTCGACCAGGCCTCCACCCCCAGGAAGCAGCCCGTGACAGCTGGCTAACTCCCAGGTACCTATTTCCTTCTAGGTAACAGGGGCATCAGGGATGAAAGAAACTCTGCCCATTGTTTCTCGCCTGCACCCGGGATCGAACCCGGGACCACAGGACCACAAGTCCAGTGTTCTGTCCGCTCAGCCGCCTGTTCCCCCTGGAGGGGTTCCTACCTCCCTCCCTCCCCACTATTTCTGGTGTTCCAGTACAACACACAAACACGGTGGGGAGAGTACTTGTTCTGGTGTTCCAGTACATCACACAAACACGGTGGGGAGAGTACTTGTTCTGGTGTTCCAGTACAAGACAAACACGGTGGGGACAGTACTTGTTCTGGTGTTCCAGTACAAGACAAACACGGTGGGGACAGTACTTGTTCTGGTGTTCCAGTACAAGACAAACAAAAGGATTATGATCTCATTTGAAAAGAAGAATTATTAAAATAGAGAAGCTTTTTGTGTTAATTTATTAACAAAAGAATATAACTACATCATGTTCATGGAAACTTTGAGAAAATAAAGCATTAATTATAATTAACTTTCTTCACACTCAACAAGCCTAATATATTTTAACACATTTCAAAATATCATACCTTTGTCACGATGTAACAATTATACACCACCAAACTTTTTCACCTTTAATGCAGGTGGCAATTTATCGAACAGCTGAAGTGGATTGAGTTCTACACTGACCAATGATTCCTTTTTGATGTGTGTGAAATGGACAACCTGATTAGACCTTTGCACAAAAGAGAATGCTCCTGTAGTTCCGACCTTTGCTACATTATTGGACGACTTGCAATTGCCATCATTCAGTTTCTCCTCGTAACGCATTACTTTACCTGGTTTACCGAGCTTTTCCTTCGTCGTGAGTTTCTGCTTATCAAGCACTATTATAGAGGAATCATCGTGCAATAGAATCAAGTGTGTGTGAAGAGGATCGTAACTCACATTGTGAATCACAGAATTCCTCTTTGACAAATCAGAGCAACACGCTGACAAAAACTCCCGACAGAAAGGCGTGTACTTTTGTTTGGTAAGATCATACTCTTTTATCATCATATCTGCGTGCACCACCACAATATCCTGAGTGGTAGGGTGAACCCCAATGGCGGTCACTGGAGAGTTGTAAGACGGCAACATTATACTGCTGTCTTGATCAAGACTGAACGCAGTAATATTGTGCTGATTATCGGCCACCACCAAAACACTGCCATCTGGATTTGTGCTCATGCGTACAACACTGCAGCCTGGTTTAAGGGCAAGTTCTTTCTCAAGGGAAGCCTCCATCTCTGACACAGTGATGACCTAGAAAAACATAGATAAACAAAACAATCAAATATACTAAGCATGAGACAAATATTTAGTGACAAATGACCAAAAACTGGTATATTATCAAAAGCTGTATGTTGGCTGCCTCATAGTGTAAGAAACTCCTCCTGGATTACTGTCTGTCATTCCCTCTTAACCATGCGTAACCACTTGGGGTGGACGGTAGAGTGACGGTCTCGCTTCATGCAGGTCGGCGTTCAGTTCCCGGCTGTCCACAAATGGTTGAGCACCATTCCTTTTCCTATCCCATCCAAAATCCTCATCCTTCCCAGTGCTACATAGTCGTAATGGCTTAGCGATTTCCCTTGATAACTCCCTCCCTCTCTCCTTCCCTCTTTACCAACTGTTTTCACTTAACCTTCCCAACAACACACATGTATAGAGCGCTCAAGTAGTACATTTACTTGCTAGTTACAAAACTAAGTGATATTAAAATGCAAATTCATACGTTAAGATAATGGCCTAAAGCAAAATATAGATTCAAATGCTGGAAACTTCCCTTTAAGATCATTTACTTCATTTGTTCTACAGTATCTTTTTAAATTATAATGTACAGTACTTCTATAATAAGAGAAGGACATGTTTTTACTGCTCTAGGTAATTGTGGCTTAAGCGTGTCCTTAATGTGTGAATGAATGTTATCTTGAGATGATTTCGGGGCTTTTTAGTGTCCCCCGCGGCCCGGTCCACGACCAGGCCTCCACCCCCAGGATGCAGCCCGTGACAGCTGACTATCACCCAGGTACCTATTTTGAAAGAAACTCTGCCCAATGTTTCTCGCCGGCGCCCGGGATCGAACCCAGGACCATAGGATCACAAGTCCAGCATGCTGTCTGCTCGGCCGACCGGCTCCCATACAATGTTACCCACATTGTACAGAAAAGTTTGCCAAAAAACTATTACAAATCCCCCACTATCTATGTAGCACTTTCACCTACAATAATATTGTTATTCATGTGCACAATGGGGGGGGGGGGGGAACATTCATGTAGTCATTCTACATATCTGGTAAATGTAACACCTTCACATAATCATTCTGTATAGCTATACTCCAAAATACATGAAATTATTTTTTCTATATTCCTGTTCCATGTTATATATTTGTTAATATATTCAACATATCTATATACTGTACCTATTTCATTTCTATATGGCTAATAATAACATCCCTTCTCAAACGGTAAATTTTCCAGAGGAGGAAAGTATAACAGAATTTGGAGACAATATGAACAAGGAGACTGGAAAACGTTCACACAACACTAACAACTTTGAAGACCACAGCAACTAAAGCCAAAAGCAACTTTGGTGCTCACCATTTGTGCTTGCGGGTCACCTATTTGTGCTTGCGGGGGTTGAGCTCCGGCTCTGGTGATCAACATTTAACGTTGTTAAGTCCAAAATTCACTACACAACTATGAAGAGATCACCTGAGGAACTCCGCAGTTCCCAAAAACGGATGCACAGTCTTAAGGATGCCCCCTTAAGGCACCCCCCAAAAAAGAAAGAAAAATTTGCTAGCCAGAATGAAGAAGGAACCAGATATTGCACCTAAAGTATCTTTTGCACAGGACGGACCGAAACGTCGTCGTCCCTTCACTTTCTAGTGTGCGGTTTCGTCAACATATTTCAGCCACGTTATTGTGACTCCTCGTCTGCATTGCACCTAAACTTTAAGAAAAAGGCCAAACTTGGAAGCAAGGCCGCCACCCCGAAAACAGGACCAAATCACAAAACCTGTTGTCCTGCACAGATAAACAAGTCGATTCAATAAAGCTACACAACACCTGTCTTCTTCCTATTTCCTTCCAAAGAAGTGTGTTGTCCCACTTTCCTGCTTGATACCTGGTTGATGGGGTTCTGGGAGTTTTTCTACTCCCCAAGCCCGGCCCGAGGCCAGGCTTGACATGTGAGAGTTTGGTCCACCAGACTGTTGCTTGGAGCGGCCTGCAGGCCCACATATACCTGCTTGATGGGGTTCTGGGAGTTCTACTGCCCAAGCCCGGCCCGAGGCCAGGCTTGACTTGTGAGAGTTTGGTCCACCAGGCTGTTGCTTGGAGCGGCCCGCAGGCCCACATATACCTGCTTGATGGGGTTCTGGGAGTTCTTCTACTCCCCAAGCCCGG